AACCCTAAGAGGCTGAGAGTTGTAAATGGTCTGCTGTTTCATTAATCGGAAGCGTAACTCCACAAAAAGTATGATTCTACTCAAAAGCCATAGACTTTCTAGTATAAGGAGGCAGCTAATACTGTCCATCTGATTTCTTGTCAATCAATTGAGCGTGGATCTTGTCAAGCACATAGAATGCCCACCAAGTCCTCAGATAGGGTTTTTTCATCCGAATGACGGGTTCGTAATAAGGTATTTTAGGTCCCCTTCACGCAATGTACATCATGTAGGTGGGGGCTTATTACAATCCTGTTTATCAAGGTCGATTCACGCTGAGAGGAGTAAAACGTCCCCGCAAATAGATGGAGATACTTGATTAACTTTTCCCCACCCAGGAATCGAACGCTTGTCTTCCACGTGCTACCGCGGAGTGCCTAACCACTGCACAACATACGTGGGTGTATGTGCGTCTAGTAGAATGTTTAATACATGAACAAAATTTTCGCCATTTTTATCTGCCGCCTTTGCCAGCAAGTATTTTCTTCCTTAAATTCCCAAAAACTTCCACAGTTAGTTTGAAATTTTTGCTATCACCTTATTTAGCTTAATGAGCATGTAGGCCAACAGTCTGAAAATGCCATGGACCCACTGACGGTTCGCACGGGCGGCCCCAAGCTGTTAGGCCTACCTTACTCCTTTTTAACTCAGTATGGCTCTGCTAGAGTACGAGTAACTATTGAGCTCTCCAATCTGACCTTCCAGCAGCTCTTAGAAGACACCGTTCCCTCGATCGCCTGATAGCATGATAACTTTTAGCCTTTGAAGAACCCTTTCTCTATACACAAGCTCTTGGCATGGACTGAGACAATGCTGTTATGCTCAGCTCCAAGGACTCATAAAATATAAAGTGGAAGGAGACCCATACGTTTAACCTAAATGTTAAAAGAGGTCACGTGAGGAGATAATTTGGTGCGCTCTATTTCCCTTATACGGAACTGATCATGCATACTTGTGGAATTTTGAGTAGAAAATTGTACGATGTTTGGAGGAGGTGGGTATCTGGTGAGGAATATGAAGAAAGTCCGAAAGGTGGGGG